TACAATAACTTGATAACTCACCTAATATTTATGTGAGACGAGTTTACTGCTAAATGCACAAAGAGTCCTTAATTCTTGTTGGCTGACTGTTTATCCCTTATGTGCATGTAATTTTGTTTGTTTTTATTATTGTAATCTTATTTACATTTATTATTGATTTCATGTCTTAGTCCATGCTTCTTGATATGGATGTATGGATATTTTAGCTTGTTTTTTTTTAGTAAACTTGTTCTCTCTTGCATGATTTGGAAGTAAAATATCAACTGCTGTAGAATTGTAATGTTATATTTGTTTACTTATTTGTTTTGTCTTGATGTAGTAAAAGCTTCCTAAAGGTCTGTCAGTTATTTGTTGACCACAAAATTGTATTATTTTATTATATGATTTTAAACCATTGGCTTCATTTTTTTTTTCTGACTTTTTTCAGAATAAGTACTTTTTATGTTATGGATATCTTAATAGTTAGAAAAGTGACATAATTTCCTGTATTGGGAACCCTTTATACATCTCTTTTTATGCTGCTAATTATTTAAGAAGTTAAAAAAATTGTTCTTTGAGATACGAGAAGTATTGACAAGCTTTTACTCATTCAAGATATGTATTGTCTGTCATATTGCATTGCATGTTTAATTTAGGTAAAGGCAGTTTTAAAGAATGCTGTACAGAGCTTTTTAGTTCAAGAGATAGTCTTTTCATTTTCAGTTACATAAAATTCCAGAGTTTAGTAAGACAGGCATATAAAATGATATACTATATACATTTTTGGGTATAGCTCCTCAATGAAAGTATTCTCATAACCATCTAAAACTTCAATCTCTCAAAATCAAGGAACGTGAACACCATTCGGGCCATCACAAAGGACCACGGAAATGTTGTCGACAGGTATACCCTTATGGCCCGGTCGGCGACAAGAGGAGCTTTCGTTTCTCCAAATGCTTCCCTCTCGCAGTGGCTGAGAGGGCACTGGGAACAATTCTATTTTGATTATAGCTTGAAGTAAGTGGATTTTCTCTCTCTCTCTCTCTCTCTCTCTCTCTCTATCTATCTATCTATCTATCTATATATATATATATATATATATATATATATATATATATATATATATATATATATATATATATATATATGAATATATAAATATGTATATGTATATTTGCTAGCCAGGGGTAAAGTAAAGTAGAAATTATCATTTATCTATATTTTCAGAATTTTTGTCTTTCACAGTTCCATTACTGTAAATCATATCAGATAACACAAGTTTTTCCCAAAGCTATACTACTCTGCAGTCACTATAGCATTGTCAGTTATGGTAAAAATCTCTGGCAAGGGCTTTATGATCCGTTCTGGATGAGTCTTTTTGAATCATTCACACAGTCTTTATTTGTATCTTTTCATTAAACAAAAATGCACAAAATTGTCCAGTCCTATATACTAGCTCTAGGGAAGTTATATAACCCAAGTTGAACTGACTGTGTGTTACATTTTACTGAAGCTAGTGTGTGAATGTTTTTAACTCAGATGCTCGTTATATTGTTACTGTGAACATATTTTTATTATCCATTCAGAGCAAATAGGTTAGCAGTTGCCCTTTGCATTAGACAGGCAGTCATTAGATACAGATTATTTATAACATGGTTTTTCTGCAGAGGGATTTTGAGTGGTTGTTATGGACAGGTCATAGTTTTGTGCAAAAGTATGTTCCAAACAGTCAGAGATTTTTTTAAAGAAAACTACAAGTGCAAGTCTTTGTTCCCCTCCTTGTGTCAAGAATTTATAAGTTTATTTTTCCTTCTTTCATTCTCTTCCAGAAAAGAGGCAGTGAAGATGTGGGTCTTCAAGAAAGTCTTATATGTGTTGTACCTCTTCGGCCGAGTGCCTGACGTGTCTCAGATAACCAACGAATTGTAGTGCTGTAGCAGAAGATTGGTTACTGTTAGAAGGTATTGCAGACAATGATCAGAATGACTGATTAAATGTTGTTAATAAAAAATGGTATTGATTTATATCTTTTATTTAGTTATTTTATGAAATTAAGCAAAAACAGAATCTATAAAAGATAGCAATTTATAACTACTTCAAATTTATTATGAAGGTCCACACCCAGATGTACAATAAGTCGAAATGTATTGTTCCCTAAATCCAAATGTAAACAGGTAATACTAAAGATTCATTAACATGATGGAAGAATGAAACACTGCAATGACAGATATATTCATATTCTCCTTGGTGGGGAAGACATGGGTCTAGCTATTAAGTATTACTCAGTCTAAATGCCACCAGGAATGAGTGTGTTTAAATCCTTGTCAGGCAGGATGCTTATATATCATTTGATATGATTTTATGATTGTTAAGAGTAACGACTGATGGAGTTTGATTTGAGATTTGCTGGAAGTGCTGACTATCACTCAGGATCAGTAGTTGTTTTGTATATTTCTGTAGAATCTTCCAGATGCCTGAATGGTCTATTTTTTTGTATAATAAAGTTTTAAATTAAACTGAA